TAACATATTATGTTATATTGATTTTATATGTTGAAAGGTGATTGCATTGCTAAGATAAATTTCCCTCATTTATAGTGTACTATTTTTATTTCTTTCCTGTATATTTTATGCATTTGTTTGTGGTTACACTAAGGATTGCAATGAACATTTTAAAGATGTAATAATCTAATTTCAATAAAACCAATTTAATTTCCATGGTATTAAAAAAATATATCTACTTCAATACTACTCTAGCCCTCTTCTTTAATGTTCTACAATCACAAACTGCATCTTTATATGCAGTGTGCTGATTAACATATAATTTTTTCAACTTTTTAAAATGTAATTGTCTTCTAATCCTTTCATGACTGAATTATTTTTTGCTTTGAATGTTTTGTTGATAATCATGTTTTTTTTTTCTCAGTAATGGACAGAATTTTGATATCAAGGAAAAACTTTTTTTGAGGTAATATAGATTGTGATACAATTTTATGGGACACAATGTCCCAAGTGTATTCTGGAGGTAGGATTGGTAGGATGAGACTTGTTTCTTCAGTTTCACACAGTTATGCATGTCCTTGTCAGGAGAAAACATGTAATACAACTGGTATAGCAGCTTCCCAAGGAACTGAAGAGGCTGAAAATATTGGTGTGCAATATATATTACAAAGGTTACAAAATGATTAAATAATATAAGTAGAAAAGTGTTACAAACCAAAATGACAATAATAATAATGACTTTTATACTTACTTGTAAAGTTACATTTATCTGTATTTTATATTTTAACTAGACTTGAAATTATTATTAACATCTTTTCATTTCAGCCTGATGGACACGGACTTTCTTCAGCATTTCTTGTGGGGCAAATAAACTACACTATCAATTGAATATCTCAGCTTTTGTTTCTCTAGGAATGGCTTGATTTCTCCTTCTTTTTTAAAGGATAGTTTTGCTATTTTTCTAGATACAGAAATCTTGGTTGATAGTATGTGTGTGTGTGTGTATGTTTTTCCTTGCAGCAGTTAAATTGTTGTTGTTGTTTGCCATCGAGTTGGCCCCGACTCATAGTGACCCTTCTTTGGGTTTCTGAGGCAGTATCACTACGGAAGTAGGATTGCCCAACCTTCTTTCAGAGGAGTGGCTGGTGGGTTTGAACCGCCAGCCTTCTGGTTAGCAGTCAAGTGCCTTAAGCACTCCACACTAATGCTGTCTTGCCTCCATAGTCTCTGATGAAAATTAGTTGTTAATCTTATTAAGGAGACTTTTAATGGGATCTGTTAATTCTCTCTTTGCTCCTTTCAATATTATTTCTTTATCTTTGACTGTTTTATTATAATACATCTCAGTTTGTGTCTATTTTCTTTTATACTACTCAGACTTTGTTAAGCTTTTTGAATGCATAGATTTATGTCTTTGATGAAATTTGGAAATTTTGGACCATTATATTTTCCAATAATTTTTCTGCACTTTTCTCACTTTTTCTTCCAGGACTCTTACTATGTAGGAGTAGAGTATGATGAGACATTTCATCATGTCCTACATATCTCTAAGGTTTTACTCATTTTCCTTCATTGCTTTTTATTTTTTTAACTTTTCTTCTCAGATTGGAAAATTTGAATTCACCTAAATTCAAGCTATTTATTCTGCCTGTCAAATCTACTGTTGAACTTTTTTTACTGATTTTTTTTATTTACATTATATTATTATCAAACTGGCACTCCTTGTTTCTTTTAACTTTTATATCTTTATAAATATTTTCTCTTAGTGAGGCATCATTTTCCTTGTTTTTTGATGTTTTTGTATATCTGTAAAATGTGAATATATATTAAAAAAAGATGATTTTTAGCCTTTGTTTAGTGACTCCAATGGTTGGACTTTCTCAGGGACACATTCAATTAATATATATTTCCTCCATGGAGGTACACATTATTCTTTCTTTGTATAAGTTTTAGTAATTTTATTTAAAGTTAACATTTCTAATATTACCATGTAGTAACTGTGGAAATCAGATTTTCATCACTCCACGGGGTGTCTTATGGCTGTTTGATGTACTTTCTGTTGTTTTTCTTGTAACATTTATGAACTTATTTTTTGTGTTGTTGTTGTTGTTGTTGTTGTTAGGTGCTGTTGCGTCATCTATGACTCATAGAGACTCTATGCACCACAGAATTAAATACTGCCCAGTCCTGTGCCAGCCCCACAATCCCCACTATACCTGAGCCCATCGTTGCAGCAACTGTGTCAGTCCATCTTATTGAGAGCTTTCCTCCCTTCTGTTGACTCTTATTTACCAAGTTTTAATATGGACTATTTCTTATAGTCTATATTATTTATCATATTTGATCACTAAAATGTCTCTACTATTAGCTTAATGGTCAGCAGTGATACAATATAAATTTACTCAAATGTTTGAAACAAACAAACAAATACAAGAAAACAAAACAAAACAAAAAACATCAACACTTTGTGTTGAAATGTGTTTTCAACATTCAGCAGGCAATTTAAAACTCTTAGGTACTTTTCTCTTCACTTACTGCTTATGCAGAACCAGAAGACCACATAGAGGTAAGACCTCAGAGGTCTCCCCAGGCCTTTCTGTGCATGTACCCATAGTTGGCATGTCTGTGACCTTCTAGATTCTCAGAAATATGTACAATCTTTTAAAGGCTCTTATTTTCCAGTTTATCTCATTTTCCAACCTTTCCTCCCAAGCTTTTCTGCTAGTGTATTGTTTGCCCCAAATGTTATTCTTTGCCCCAGATGGATGGCAGTTGCTAATATGTTTTACTTTAAATGTTTTAGCAAATGCTGTCTGTTGACCTGTTTCAGCTTTTCAAGTAAATAAAGTAGAGGCAAGCACTGAGATGGTATTTCTAGGAACCATTAAGCCATTCTCAACAAAGAACCAAAACTCTTTGAGATTATGGTCCTTCTTGCCACTTTGATACTAGAACCATGTGACGGAAGTTTTCTTCAATGGTGGCACAGGGCTAGGGAGTAGAAGTAGGGATGGTGTAAGTGAAAATGTAGCAACAATTTCTTGCTTAGTTTTCGCTATTCTTTTTTTTTCCCTTGATTAAGCATTCAACTAATTTTGTAAAATTTGATTAGTTTCTAGACTTTCAATTAGGCTGATTTTGACAGTTTTCCCAGCTCAATTTATTCCCTACTCTTGTGGAGGGAGGTGCTCTTGGAGGTCCCTACTCCCCCACTTTACTGATGTCACTACTTGTCTTTCTTAATCTTGGTGTATTTTAACTGTAAAAAAAAAAAAAAAAAAGCCACTGCCATCAAGATGATTTTGACTCATGGCGACCCCTATTGGGATACCAAGGTGGTAAATCCTTATGGAAGTAGTTTGCCCCATCTTCTTTCCATGACATGGCTGGTGAGTTTGAACCATCAACCTTCTGGTTAGTACTCAAGTTCCTGAGGCACTGTGGCATCAGAACTCCTTATTTTAACTGCAGAGGGTAGTAATTTTGTACAATATCTCACTAAAGTTTGGTTTGTATTTTGTTTTCTTATGATTAATTCAGATTTTATAGGCATTATTGGCAAGATTACATAGAAGTAATATAATGTACTCTCTGTACCATATCAGGATGGCAAATTATGATAGTTGATCTTTTTCTAATTTCATCATTATTTATATATCTATTACTTTGCATACTACTGTAAAACATTTTCCCTTCTTATTTACTCATTTATATCAATTTAGGTTGGGAGCTCTGGTGACATAGTGCCTAAGTCATTTGACTGCTAACCAGAAGACTGGGGATTCAAACTTAACAGCCACTTCTCAGAAGGAAGACTGAACAATCTACTTCTGTAGAGATACTGCCTTGGAAACCCTAAGAGGGGTGCTATGTGTCAGAATCAACTTGAAGGCAATGATAGATGGATGAAATCTTATTTAACTCCTTATACTTTTAGTTTGTGTTAATGCTCAATATCCCTCATATTTGACCAGTGGGAGCACTTTCTAAATATTTGTATATGTATATGTGTGAGTATTTGTGTATGTGTTCCTTTGTTATGTTCCTGATTCTTTGAGGACTTCCTTAATATCTGGATAAACAGAATACTCTAGACTCATTGTACTGACTCTGATACAGTCCTGGGACAAGTATGCTCTAGAAGGAATACTGGTACATTTTCGTGGATAATGGTATTTAAAAACACAGATTTGCAGAAATATGTACAGCATTAAAAATATACGCTTAAGGAAAAATGAGTTTCTGTTAAGGATGATGGTATAATTTGGTAATGGATAAGGGTGATAATTGAACAACATGATGAACATAACTAATGTTACTGAATTGTGTATGTGAACACAGTTAAAATGTTAGATATTTTGCTACATATATATGTGCCATTTAATGTACATGATAAATTCTGTGAAATAGGTGGTTATGTGATTTAGACATCACACAAACAACATATTAAAACTTTATGGGAGCCTGCTTTGAGTTGTTCTAGTCACTGCTATTGCCATTGCTACTGCTTCTGGAGCTGCTGACAGACACTGTAAGAATGGGAGCCAGCAGTAGCAGAAGTGGCTGAAAAGGGGACGGTGGGAACTGAGTGAAAGAAAGTGAGTAGGGAGGGAGAGGAGTGCACTCACCACTGCTCACTGTCCCTCCCACCAGAACAGCTGGAGCAGCCTAACCCCACAGACCCCTGCCTCTACTGCATGCCATCTAAGCAAAGCCCTGAGAGTCTATGCTTAGAGCCAGGTCCTCTGCCTCACCTCACTGAATCCTACTTGTGGGCAAGTGCTTCCGTAGTCTCGGATTGGGGTCTTTAAATCCATTAAGGCCAAATAATAAACAAAAGGAAACCTTATGGGGCACCATAATACATATGTGGTTGAATGTTTTCCTGATGGATGTATGTAAGACATACTTGCATGTATGTATATAATTCACATTTTTCTGCAGTACTTGTTGGTTTGGTTTTAGAAAAGCAACTGGTAAATATTTGTAATCAATTTGCTCTTTTTTACTCCTTCCTTCAGTTCCTCCAGTCATCCGGGTGTATCCAGAGAGTCAAGCTAGAGAACCTGGGGTAACTGCAAGTCTCAGGTGCCATGCAGAGGGCATACCAAATCCTCAGCTTGGCTGGCTGAAGAATGGAATTGATATTACACCAAAGCTATCCAAGCAACTCACACTTCAAGGTGCCTTGTACTTAGATTTTTTTTTCTTTTAATTTACTATGTAAAATTTTATAGTAAATTTTATAACGTATTTTTACACTATTTAGTAAAAAGAGAAAATGAATCTTGATGGTAATAGAATGGTATGAAAACGAAAAAATATATATATTATAGTTAACACAGTATATTTGAAATAGAATCCTTTCATATTCTTAATGTTTTAAATAATAGTCTTGTCATGATGATTAATTATGTCATTATTTTGGTGATAAGTAAAATATTAAACTGTGTAGCTTTTAAATATTAGTCCATGAATTATAGCAGGTATGCGGAACAGGATAATTAAATATATTCATAAAATGTATGTATGAATGTTTAAATCTTTGAACGTTTAAGTAATACATTAAAATATATATTATAGAGTGTTTCAGTAGTATAAAAACTTTATGTGGATAATTTGTAGTATATTTTGTAAATAAAAAGTACAGAATAAATCAGTTAAAGTTTAAGGTTTACATTCCATTTTAAAATTATAGAATTACTGCATTTTAATATATAAAATATCTATATATTCTACTATTCTCATGTATAGATATCACTCAATTATTATACAAAAACAAAATTTTATAAGGCTCGATATTATACAATGCGCAAAAGGAGTTGCAAGTAATATGTTGATGATATTATTAGTAAAAACAAAACAAAAGAAAAAGTACAAATCTTTTTCTAAACTTAAGAGTAGCCCTCATCAAATTATCATACCTGAAATATCTGTTGCATGGGCTTTATATCCCTTACTCTTTGCCTTTAAATTTCTTCAACTCATAATTCTGTAACTGACTATATTTCCATTTATTATTTTTTTCTTTAAGCATGTTGTTGTTGTTGTTATTTGCCATAGAGTCGGCCCCGACTCCTAGCGACCCCTCCTTGGGTTTCCGAGGCAGTTATCGCTACGGAAGTAGGATTGCCCAACCTTCCTTCCGAGGAGTGGCTGGTGGGTTTGAACCGCCAGCCTCCTGGTTAGCATAGGCTTCTTCTATTATCCTACTTTAATGTTGAATATGTTTAATAAGCAAATATTTTTAAAAAAACTTAATTCTAATAAATCAAAGGAGATATCTCTGTGAAACTATTCTTGAATTTTATAACTTTAATCCTATAAGTCACTATATTAACACAATAGGTCCAACAAATTTACAAATTTATACTCAATGGTTGCATCCTGTGGTCTATAATCTGAGAGAGGATTATTCTGAAAAACAGAAATTATAGGAAATAAAATCTAAGCAATGTCTTATTCTGCCATCTCTTGGCCATTTAATAACAGGAAACTATATTATCTAAGCACATTATATATTTGTTTTCAGAAATATAGTCTATATTCAAAGAGTGGGATGCTTGCAAAATAGGTGTTGCCACTTTCAAGACAGGAAAAAATAGGTAAATGTAGAAGCAATATGAAATAATAAAAAGGAGCATGGAACACAACTTAAGAGAAAACTCAGACTGCATATGAGCAGGAAATTCCATTTGAGCTTATGTGTAATGAATTATATATTATCAGATACTATCATTGTTTTCCCTGGCTAGCATAAATGGTTTGTGCTTGACAACTAACCAAAGCGTGTATGTTTGAAACCACTCAGAGGCTCTGTGGAAGGACCAAAACCAAATCCACTGCCATTGAATCAATTCTGATTCATAATGAGCTCCCCTGGGTTTCCAACGCTATAAATCTTTGTGGAAGTAAATTGCTTCATCTTCTTCCCATGGAGGAGCTGGTTGGTTTGAGCCACTGACCCTCTGGTTAGCAGCCAAATGTCTTACCCACCAGAACTCCTTCTGTGGAAGAAAAGCTTAGTGAAACAATGCCAAGAAAACTATGGAGCTCAGTTCTACATGGGGTTTTCATGTGTCAGAATTGAATTGATGACATTTTTTTTTCATTTCTTTTTTAGTTTGATGTTTATTCAATAATGTATCAGATGCATTTTTAGCTTTTGTGTGTGAGGTCAAAGCCTGGCCCTGAGTATTATGACAATAGATGAAAACACCTAGGCATAATGTATCAATGAGTAGGATCAAGAACCTGGATAAGCACAAATAATTAGGTGGAAAATGAAGATAATATAAAAAGACTGAAAGCCAGCAAAGTGGAAGGAGAACCATGTAATAATACAATAGCAAAAGCATAGAGATTTTAAAGATGAGGAAAATGTTCCACAATTTCAGATGCATAGAGAGACCAAGGAAATCCGGGACAAGCCATTAGTCTGTCATTGCTACATGTTGATAAACATTATTAGTAGCAATTAGTCTTCTGTGAATGAAAGATGAAAATAAATACAAAAATCTCTTTCCAGACTTTGAAAGGAAAGAAAAGGGAAAAGAAGTAGCTACTAGTTGAGACCGTTAGAACAAATAGAGATATTTTTTTCTTCTTGGAAAACTTAGGTGTTGTATGAATTATCAATGGAAAAAAGTGTTAGAAAATACTGGAGAAGGAGGAAGGAGTAAAGAATGGTAAAAATCAGCAAGAGAGGAAAGATGATTTGCTTGGAAAAGGAATAGAGAGAAAGCACCCATTGAGGACTGAATATAGATAAAAATACAGGTACAAAGAGGAAGTTTTCAGATTCCTTTCTGATCACTTCTATTTATTTTATGATTTAAGGAACAAAGTTACATTGAAGAAGTTAATATTATGTTGGGAAACATGAAACATATAGTAAAGATTTTAAATAAAGGTGAAGCAATATATGCATGAAAGCTGCCTGTTAAAGACAAGTGGAAGAGGTTCAAGGAACATTAAAAATTCTGCAAACTTAGATTTGAATTTACATATTTGTGATTTTGTTATGCTATAGTCTCTGGTGGCTCAGTGCCCAAGGTATTTGACTGCTAACCAGAAGACTGATGGTTCAAACCCACCAGGTACTCTGTGGAAGAAAGATGGGGCAACATGCTTCCATAAAGATTTAAAAATTCCATGGGGGTCACTTTGAGTCAAAATCAACTGGATGGCGCTGGGTTTGGTTTGGGTTTTTATAGTTTCATAGGAGCTCTGGTAGTGTAGTGCCTAAGGCACTTGACTACTAACCAGAAGACTGGCGGTTCAAACCCACCAGCCACTCCTCGAAAGGAAGTTTGGGTAATCTACTTCCATAGTGATGCCACCTTGGAAACCCAAGGAGGGGTCACTTTGAGTTGGTCCAACTTGACAGCACATAACAACAACAACAGCATCAAGGGAGGCATGGCAGTGTGATAAATGGACACTGAAACTGGTATTTCTGGTAAGAGGATGGAGATCATTTAAGAACGCTAGACTAGATAGAAGAGGAGGGAAAGAGAATGAAACATACAGATTAGGAGAATACACACAAATTTTAGGTAAAAAAGAATTTGAATAAGGAATACATTTAAGTTTCAAGATAATCTAAAAAATGCATGGTGTTAAGTGTATGGATCTTGAAGAGAAGCTTGGCATTTTGGAGAGAGTCATATTTGACTAAAAGAAGAGACCGATGCAGCATAAAAACCATTGTTCATTTCCTGTTTTTTAAAGCAATTATGGCCCACGGATCAAATCTTGCTAGCTGTCTATTTTGCTAAATAAAGTCTTTTAAAACACAGGCACACTTATTTATTTAAATATTGTCTATGCCTGTTTTCACTCCTAGTAGTCACAACAGAGACTATTTTTCTTGCAGAGCCTGAACTAGTTACTATTTTAACTTTTACTGAAAAAATTTTGCTAGCATCTGTTTTATAGTAGGGATTTTTAAGAAAAGATTGAGAGATGGAGTGGTCAGTAAGCATTTGAAAATTGAGGAAGGCGTTCAAGTGATTTGAATGACTATTCCCTCCTCCTCAAACATTCACTGCCTCTCCATGTCTCATCAAATCCCCTTGAGGACCACTGAATTTTCAAAATGACATTCAAGGCCTATCATAATTCACTCCCTACATAGTTTGATACTTTATTTCCCTATTAGTTTCTTTTCTTTTTTACCCATGTCTCTCCAAAATCAGACACAAATATTTAACTCTTATCTGTTACTAATGTTTATGTTGTATTTTGTTACACAGGACACTCATTTGATTGGATGTCCAGAACTCCCAACTAGATAACTACACAAGTTCACTTTGTTTATTTTCTACAATAAAACTCCATAATTATGCACCTGGTGATAATTCAAACTCCGATTTAAAGTGGCATCTCCCAGATGTCCAGAACTTTCAAAAAGATAATTGCACAGGTTCATTTCATTCACTTCCTCTCCTAAACTATTACAAACTTGCAATGCCATAAAAATCTAACTTGCTCCCATCGAGCTAATTCCATCTCAAAGCGACCCCCATTGGGTTTCCAAGGCTGTAAATCTTTACAGAAGTAGAATCTCCCATCTTTCTTCCATGGATCAGCTTGTGGATTGTACCACTGACCTTTTGGTTAGTAACAAAATGCCTTAACCACTACACCGCTAGAGCTACTTGATTTATGGTAATAAGCTTGACAAAATTCCATAGTATTATCCTTGCATTATGTAGCTCATTTAATTTGTTTATGAAAATAAAATTTCATACTTATTTCCCTATTCATGAACCATATTGGTATTATTTAAATTGGCTATAAAAGCTTAGGATAAAGTGGATTCTGACTATAAGAAATAGATACGTTGTTGTTGTTGTTATGTGCCATCGAGTGGGACCCGACTCATAGCGACTCCTCCTTGGGTTTCCAAGGCAGTATCACTACAGAAGTAGATTGCCCCATCTTCCTTCTGAGGAATGTCTGGTGGGTTTGAACCACCAGCCTTCTGGTTAGCAGTCAAGTGCCTAAGAAATAGATATATAAAGTGCAATTATGGTTATCAATATGAAATACTTCATATACAAGATCTGTATTTCTCGCACTATCTATTCTGACTCACTCTGACCCTCATAGGGTTTACAAGGCTATAAATCTTTACAGTAGCAGACTGTATCATCTTTCTCCCACAAAATGGATGGTGGGTTCAAACCACCAGCCTTTGGTTTAGCAGCTGAATGCATTAACCAATACACCTCCAAGCTCATAATATATGATACGAGGACGTTACTGCCATTGATCCATTCTGACACATAGCAACCCCTACTGGGTTTCCAAGGCAGTAAAGCATTATGGAAGCAGACTGCCTCATATTTCTTTCTCAGAGCAGCTGGTGGGTTTGAACCATCCAACTTCCTTACCAGCCAAATGCCTTGAGCATTACACCACCAACTCCTTTATATACATATAGGAAATAGAAAATGGATATAAAATATAAAGCATGTGCATTTAATATATAATATTGGGGCTCTCTGTAACAGAATGACAACAGCACAATGTATGAAACATATGAATGCTTCTGGAATAATTTGGCATGCCTCCAAAGCATGGAAAGAGGAAGAGAAGTATTTAATTAGGAAAAGCTAAGAAAATTTTCTGACCGTGTAATCAGAAAGCACTGGACTGAAACTGAAATTGTAGTTTACAAGTTGAATTTGCCTTCTGTTTTCAGCAAATGGCAGTGAGGTTCACATAAGCAATGTGCGTTATGAAGATACGGGAGCATACACTTGTATTGCAAAGAATGAAGCAGGAGTGGATGAAGACATCTCTTCTCTTTTTGTCGAAGATTCTGCTAGAAAGACACGTATGTATTAAGCAAACACACACACACACACACACACACATGCACAGACTTCAAATGAAACTCTTACAAAGAGCAAAGACACCAAAAACCCCCATGAAATCCACAATGCATGTAAATCACTTTTCATACGTAGGAAAGAGGACTTTTGAAATATTTCAAGTGCATTTAGAATTATAAAACAAATATTTTTATATTTTCAATACAATACTAGAACTTTTTCTTTTTGCAAATGTTTTAAAAGATGTTTTAAGTCATGTCTTTCCATCTGCTTATACAAGAATATTAATTCCTTGCACATCCTCCTTCCAATCTACATCCAAGGTATATTGTTGTTGTTGTTTGCCGTCGAGTCGGCCCTGACTCATAGCGACCCCTCCTTGGGTTTCCGAGGCAGTAGTACTACGGAAGTAGGATTGCCCCACCTTCCTTCCGAGGAGTGGCTGGTGGGTTTGAACCTCCAGCCTTCTGGTGAGCAGTCAAGTGCCTTAGGCACTATGCTACCAGAGCTCCCCATCCAAGGTATATGCTCCCAAAATATACCCAAGGGATAACTTTTGGATGTTAATAAATTAGTATATTTATTTTTCTGTCTGTGTCATTGCAGTCAGTGGCCCCATAGCTGTATAGCAGTGCTTCCCCTCATCAGGCCCTAAGGTTCCTGCCATTGTAAGACGTTCAGTGCCCCTGGTAGCAACACCACTCCATGGGTTACTCTGGGTTTATTGCTTGAAATCTATTATTATTACTACAGTTTCCTTCTGAAAGGATAACAAAAAAAATACAACTTTCTTTTTTGTTCACTACTTGACTACTTGGTGAAAGAAATTTGAATGTGGGAGGAATGTTAAATGTAGATTTTTAGTTACAGCTAAATTGCTTAGAACTTAAAGCACTATTAGAGTGCTTATCTGGTGAATTTTCTGAAAGTGCAAGCACACACACCTGCTCTTCCTGCGGTCCACACAAGCCACAGTAGGGCTTGTTTGGGATGGGATCATGCTGTTATCTGGAACTACCTATTCCGTTGCACCATACTCCTCAGTTTTATTTGTCATTCCCATTTTCCCCACTCATTATTCTAAATTTCTTTTGTTGTTGTTGTTGTTGTTATGTACTGCCAAGTCGAACCTGGCTCATAGTGACCCCTCCTTTGGTTTCTGAGGCAGTATCACTACGGAAGTAGATTGCCCAACCTTCCCTTCAAGGAGTGGCTGGTGGGCTTGAACCACCAGTGTTCTACGCAATGGGTACAAGTAGATGTGAATGCATTTTTTAGGAAAGGAGAATCTCACCCAGATCCCAACACCCAATGTGTCTGTTTCTATGTTTGATCTTGCTAGGATAACCATCATTACAAACATATATGTAAAAATAAAAGTATTAAGGTAGATACAGGAAACAAAAACTAGGTTTAGAAACCTAGATAATGTTCACCAAAAGTTCATTATTTGAATTATTTCATATACTTCTACTGAAAATAATTTTTCAATTAAAATTTTAAAAAAATTAATTTTGTCCTTTATGATACCATTTGGGAAACAGATTTAAATTGCAAACCTAAACTCTGATTTTCTTTTAATTTTTGTTATATATTTTTCAATGTGTTTTCCTAATTATAACATTGAAGCACACAGACATAGTTTCTTTAATCAATGAACCACTCACTGCCTGCAAAAACGGCAAGGAGGCCACATGTTCTGACTTCCTAGAACCCCACAAGAGGAAGA